ATAGATAGATAGATAGATAGATAGATAGATAGATAGATATATTTACACACACACACACACACACACACACACACACACACACACACACACATAGTATTTAAATGCTGAAAAAGTATCTTAAATGTCCCATCACTGCATTTAGTTTCAAGGTCCTATTTTATCCAGCTTTGATATTCTCAATTTTGATAACCCAATATCTATGTATGTATCAACTGTAGTTGTAGTTTTTTTTTAACTTCTTTGTTTCCCCTTTCATTTCTTTTAAATAATGAAATAAATAAATACAGAAATGTTTCCCTTAAGCGCTTGAATCTTAAAATTTTCCTTGCAAGCCACAACAAACAATTGGCAGTGCAGCAGTTCTTATCTCAAAAAAAATTTTTCAAGTGTGGTCTGTTGGAAGTGGAGGAACCACAGTGTGTTTGAAATGATTCGCGTTTTTTATTACTGCAGCATAAAGGCGTATGCATAATTTTAGTCCATCTGCGTCTTGTTACCAGAGGTGGTCATTCCATCAATGCTGACAGAAGGTCCGTCCATCCTTCAGTGACGGACTCTCGTTTTGCTGGCGAATGATGGGAACATTTAAAAAATGACAGCCTGTTAGCACTGACAGAAACAGGCTTTTGTTCATCACCAGAATCGTCACTATCGTCAGTCCCGACGGACTTTCTGAGTCTGTCGGTGACAGACTCCCGTTTCTCTGATGCCTGACAGCAACACACGCACCCTGTCTCGCGTGTGATTGTTCATGAGGCTTAATACACCGGAGTTCCTTTGTGCAGAGTGCGGCAGGATCTTCTTGTCCTCCAACAGAAAAGAAAATTAAATCAAATCAAAAGTTTGAACATCCCTGGTCAACCTCGTGACCTAACTAGTTGTATTGGCTACAAACTAAATATTGTTTTTCATTCTCCAAGCATGCTCCTTTAAGTCCATACGTATCTCACTGAACAGCAAAAGCTTCCTCGTGTTAGCTAACGTATCGAATGTTGTTTTGTTTTTTTGTTTTTGTTTTTTTCATCAGTGTTCGTTCAAGGTTGCAAACATTTGCTACGATGTTCACCAGCTATTTGCACGGTTTTAATGTTTGCTCGCAATTGTTCTTGTCGCCATCAAATTTTGAACATGGCCTACATGGAAAACATGAGTATCCTCTGTATGTCACGTAAATACTGTCCATCTCTATTTCTTTAGTATGATTTGCAAACATCAACGTGTTAATAAAAGTATTCTTTCCTCATCAGACGAAAAGCTACATGTGCAGCATCCATGGGAATACACTGTGCTTCACCATAGATTTTGACTCAGGCTTTGTATGTTTGGACAGATCCTCAAATGTAAGTTATGATTGATTTGATGATATGCTGGTACTGTCAGCGCTCATCACATGTGGTGAATACAGTGGAACCTTGAAGGTCCAACACAATCCACCCTGGGACATGATATGTTCAGATTCCAAAAGAAATATCCCAATTGCAAATGATGGAACAAGATGCTATCCATTTTAGGGGCTAATTGTTGCAATTAAACATTTAATAACTGTACAGGCAATGATTGAAATATGATTTAACAGCCATACAGGTGCAAAAATATGGTCACAAATTGTCAGCAAAATAATAAAACACTCCTTTAACAAATGGAAATAGTGTACAAAGGGTATAGAATCACCTGACATTCCTTGTTATTAAACCTGTCTCATGCTAGCTGCTAAAGCTAGTACAGTGAAATTCCTCGACAACGAAATCATGTTTGCAGCAAGAAATTTTTCACAACAGGGGGTTTTTCACTGTAGCAAATTTGATCTCAGACGTCAAACACACACACACACACACACACACACACACACACACACACACACACACACACAAACACACACACAAACATATGTGTACTCTTTATTTTTATTCCAATAGTGAATAAGTATGAGCATACATTTATTTGACACTTCACATAGTCAGTGTAGGAAGAAAAAAAAGGCAAAGAAATTGCGAAATTTACGATCAGCATTCACTTTCACTTAAATCAATTTCCGGGATAATGTCTTATTTTGCTTCCTCCGCCTTTCATTTTGATCACTTTTACCTTCTCTTCCAGCGTCAGAGCTCTTCTTGTCTTAGCTGCTTGACATCCAAAGGTCCGTTTTGTAGCCATTTTAGCAATGCAAAGTTATTGCTGCGTCTGAAACTAACAATAACAAATACTTCCTGGACTACTGCGCATGTGTAAACCAGTGTGGTGGTTGCTGTTGCTGTTTCCGAACAAAGCAGTAGAGGTCGTTGTTGGATTAGACTTCGTTCTAGTGAATCTCATCTCGAGGCAAGAGCAGAGAAAAAGATTTCCTATTACACAACAGGGTTTTTTTTTCGTTGCATGGGGGGCAGGAAAGTGGGAATAGTGTTAATGCATGAAGTTTTTTTCACACATGCGGGTATTTTCGCCCATGTAGGTTTCGTTGTCGAGGAGTTTCACTGTAGTCGATTCCAGTGCCTGGACTTTCCCTCTCTTCACTTGCCACAACTTCAGTCACTGCTCCTTCTGCTCACCCATCCTGGCCCATTGCCGCAGTTTTCCTGACTGGCACGGAAATGAAACACTCAGTCATTGCGCTGGGACACCCTGGCGTCTTACAGCTTCGAATGCGAGTCTATTTACTTCAGAACTTTGGCATATTGTTCTCAACACTTCTTGTTGAAGCTGTTCCTCCTTTGGAATCTGCACAGCAAAAAACAACAACGGAAAAGAAAGGCTGCCCATCCTTGAACACCAGCGAAACTGGAGTCTCGTGATGAGTAAAATGATTTGCTAACATCTAGCTTGAGGTCACACATGATGACACACATGACTGGACCTCATTGAGTTTTTGGAAGACTTTGGTGGCATCTGTCCCATATTATTGAAATTTGGTTGACTTGATGTTCAAATTTGGAGGTTCCGCTGTGTTTCCTGAAATGTGAAATGTTTTCTCATGCGATTGGCCATGTTGGATGACATTTCTATCAGGTTCAAAGTCACTGTTGCATTTTCATGTGGAGTCTGTGCTGTGACTCTGTGGGCATCCTTTAGACCAGCGGTCCCCAACCTTTTTTGCCCCACAGACCGGTTTAATGTCAGACAATCTTTTCAGGGACCAACCTTTAAGGTGTGACGGATAAATACAACAAAATAACATGATATGACCTGCGTGAACACTGTGATGTTTTCGAAACATAATAATAAACCAGAATCATGACACAAGGAATGTCCTATCTGGCCGCAACACTCTCTGGTCATTTAAACGTGCCTTCAAAATAAGATACGCCGCAAATTCAAAGTGCATGAAAAATACGACTCACCATCGCCGCATGTTATGCAGAGTGGGTTTGGAATCTCTAGTTGAGAGAAATCCGTATTTTTTTAAGTAGGACTCCTGATACTGTCTATTAAATGTAGCCTTCTTTTTCTTGAAAGGCTTAGGCTTCACTTCTGTCTCCTGGCTGGGCCTTCTCCCCTCCCCAAAGACGTTTGTTTTTGTACTCAGTTTGCAAGCTCCTGGGTTTCATTTTAGCAGTAACCTATCACATGATCGAGAAGCGCACATTGACCTCCATCAAGAGTGACACACTGTAGACGGCTATAACAGGATCCGGTGTTTTTCAAAATAACACATCTTTTAGATTCCGAAATGAATAAAACAGAAGTATGGTAAGTTATTTATCTTTCCGTGCGGCCCGGTACCATATAACCCACGGACGAATGCCGGTCTGCGGCCAGGGGGTGGGGACCACTGCTTGAGACCAGCCAAATGAAAATTGAAGTTTGTTGTCAAGAAGTCATACACATCCTAACAAAAGGCCCCTTTGTTGGTAATAAATGAATATATGTCCCATTATTGTGAATAAATTGTGCAGAATGCATTTGTTGATTGTATGGCAATGATTTATAGTTTGCCAAATTTCTAATTTGGATCTTGAGCGACACGGTTTGGGAATCCCTATTTTAACATGATCAAATTGACTAACACAGCCACCTGCTGTGTTTTATTAATTTTGTTGTTCTCTTACAGATGCTACTATGGCGATATAAATTCTCTCAGCTGAAAGGCTCCTCTGACGATGGGAAAAACAGGGTAAAACTTCTTTTCAAGAATGCTGAAAGCAATCAAATAGACACGAAGGTATGAACATGGTTTTCATGCAGAAAAAAACACATGCGTGGAGTGATAACATTTGAGCAGTAATATTTTGCAACTTGGAATCATCTAAAACAAAAGTGTTGGAAAAGTGCAGCTGGACCTCCGATGTTGTTTCATTTCCAAACTAATCTGTGTCTCTGTCCTTGACCTTTTTCCAGGAACTAGAGTTTGCTAATCTAATGGCGGTCCTCCACTGTATTCACTCTTTTATTGCTGCCAAAGTGGCCTCCATGGACCCTCTCTTTCCATGCAATCAAAGCTTGGGTGGAAATTACATGCACATATAAAAGGACATGGTTTGCACAATGTCAGGGGAAAAGAAAATGCAGTTTTCAAAATGTTTTGTTCACAATATGTGCTTCTGTCTCTTTATATGTTTCATATGTATAATGCACACAAATCTGACTGGATCTGCACCCATGATGCTTGGTTCAGTGCCATGTGTCGTACATCAACACCTTGACGCAAGAAAAAAGTAAAATTAAAATGAAATTGGCGACAAATGGACAAAATGAAAATCTCCAGTGAGAAACTGTTCTTTGTTGGCTTCATCGAAGTTCCATTTGTATGTTTGCTTCTTTTTTTTTTGTAATCGAATAAACCCATTACAGTTGACCCTGCTCGCACATGGCTGAAATGTGAATAGTTAAGTTTGATTGAGTGATTGATTGATCAATTGATTGATGGAGTGATACTTTTTTAATCCCTTTGGAGAAAATCAAGCATGAGTGGAGCAAGATGTACAAACGCCAATTCCGACGAAGTTGAGACCTTGTGTAAAACGTACATAAAAAATGTATACAATGATTTGCAAATCTTCTTCAAACGACTGCAGATTCAACACAACAAAGATATTTAATGTTCAAAGTGATGATTTTTTTTTTTTTCAAATACTGACTTATTCTAAATTTGATATCTGTAATATTTTCCCAAAAACCTGGCGCAGGCGAAAAATTCCCTTTCTGTCACATTTCTTTTGAACATAATTGTTGGGCAACTGCTTAGGAGGTGGGATTCTTTCCTATTCCCGTTTGATGTTCAACTTCAGTTGCTCAACAGTCTGGGGTCTCTGTTGTCATATTTGACATCTCATAATACATGACACATTCTCCATGGGAGACAGGTCTGGACTGCTGGCGCAGCAGTCGAGTACTCACACTCTTGATTTACGAAGCCATGTTTTTGTAACATGTGTGGACTGTGGCTTTGCAATTGTTTTTCTGAAATAAGCAAGGATGTCCTTACAAACGACATAGCTTGGATGGCAGCATGTGTTGTTCCAAAACCTGCGTGTACCGTTCAGCATTGATGGTGCTTTCACAGATGTGCAAGTTACCCTTGCCATAGGCCGCCATACCATCACAGATGCTGTTCTTTTAACTTTGCGCTGTTAACAATTCAGATGTTTGGTTTTTTTTTCCGCTTTGGGCCGGAGGACACAAAGTCCATGATTTCCCAACAAAGAATGTATATGAAATGTGAACTCGTCAGACCACAACACAATTTTCAACTTTGTGCCAGTTCATCTCAGATGAGCTCACGTCCAGAGAAGGTGGTGGCGTTTTTGGGTGCTGTCAGTGCTTTAAGTGGGCAAAAAAAAAGAAAAAAAAAGGTGCCGGTACTCTCTTGTTGCCAGGCAAATCATCAATATATATTGCATTATGCTACGCTCAGACCAAATGCGGGGTGGGGTGAGCGTTCCACCTCGTTTTACTCACTTTTGAATGTGGGAGTTTAACAGACCCTGCCGCACCGGAGAAGGGGAGGGGCATGATATTGCTAGATTGACAACTGCAGCATTTCAGCGGGTCGAGAAAAGAGAGCACCGCCGAGTACTTCCACATTTTTCCCGGGACTGCGGCCGAGCTCCTCTTTTTTGCCTGCTGCACCTTTCTTTTTTCTTTGAGGTACGTGTCCCTCAAGCCCTTCCACAATAAATGTTTGATCTTGGCAATCAAGTGGTGGCCGGCGGGGGTACTAAATACTTTGGTTCATACGAAACACCGTTGCTACCCTTGGTACAGTGCAAACAACTTAAGATAAGATAAGATAAGATATCCTTTATTTGTCCCACACTGGGGAAAACTTACTGTAAACAAGGAATTGCAATGTGAGAAAAATACTTCCTTTTTTTTTTTTTTTTTTAAACTTTGGCTAATAAGCAAATGTGCGGATTTTTGATGTGAGGCTCCATGTCCCATTGCTCCAAACATCGAATCCGCGCGAGTTACATTAAAAATGAATCGCACCACCAGAAACGCTCACCCCAGATTCGCTCTGAATGAACCATGAGAGACACTGGCACCTTCATTATTATCCTAGAAGCAAATATTGCAGACTCTACATTTTGCCTTTGTATTGTCAATAAAGTTTAGATGTGTCCAGATATTTTCCCCCTGTCCCTTATTTTCCCAACTATTCCTTGTGTGCTAGTGTTGTCTCTCCTTGATCCGTTTCTTTCTGTTCTCGCTCCCTCCTCAGTGTGCTGTAACTGCCACCACTTTGGCTCCATGTAGTCAGAGACAGATTGACAATCATACGCAGGCTCTTTGAAGTGAATGATGAGAAGCCGGCTCTCGTCGTTCACTTCAAAGAGACGCCTCGCAGAGCTGTTTCATTCATGACCGACACGTCACTACGTGAGACTGCCTCACAAGGGACAGGCATGCATCACAAAAGCACAAGAGAGAAATAGAAGAAGAGAGGCTCTTGAGGACTCATGTAAAGTCCCAATACACCGTAAAAAGTCCCGGTCTGCTCAAGGGTAAAATTGAGAACTGCTGGTACCCTGTACTGGCCCACGTAAAGCACTGGGTGCTGTTGATACGGTATATGGCTTTTGCTTTCCCTGGTCGAGTTTTAACTTACATTTGTAGAGGTAGGGATGAACCGTGTTAACAGACAACGGTTTGTGTGGTGTTTCTCAGCCTACGTGGAATAATCCTTGATACATACTTTATACATAATACAGTGCTGCCTGAAGGATCGAGGATCACAGGCATTCACCGCTGGTTTTTGGTCTGAGAATTGTTTGATGACAATATGAGCCATAGATCATCCACGCATCCATTTTTCGATCCGCTTTATCCTCACAAGGGTCTCGGGGGGTGCTGGAGTCTATCCAAGCCGTCTTCGGGCAGTAGGCGAGGGACACCCTGAACCGGTTGCCAGCCAATCGCAGGGCTCACAGAGACAAACAACCATCCGCGCTCACACTCACACCTAGGGACAATTTAGAGTGTTCAATCAGCCTGGAATGCATGTTTTTGGAATGTGGGAGGAAACCGGAGTACCCGGAAAAAAACCCACGCAGGTCCGGCCGGGGAGAACATGCAAACTCCACACAGGGAGGCCGGAGCCAGAATCGGACCCCGCACCTCTGCACTGCGGGGTCGACGCGCTAACCATTTGACTGCCTCCTGAAAAGATCTTTCTCCTCAAATTTGTTCAGTTAGTTGCTGTATTTTTAGCACATTCTAGCCTGGCCTTCTCATTCTTGTTGCGATTGAGTGGCTTGCATGTTCAAGAGTGTGACCTGTACTAGTATGTTCATGACCTTCACTCCTGCCCCGTGGAGGTTGTTGCTCATTAACAATTAACATTTTTTAACATTAACAATTTTTTTGATTTTTTTTTTTTTTGACAGATCTCAACATGTTTCTTTTGTCAATTGCTGTTTCCTACGGTCAAACCGTTCAACCTGTGTTACTTCATATTCCAGTTGTCTCTTTATTTTTCAGGACATTTCGAATCATCGTATTAGAAATGGACCAAATTTGTGAATCGACTCATTGGCTCTCCATCTTCCAAGTATTAAAATTGCTGTTTTTTCCACCTCTCTGGATTACACAAAGTAGTATGAACAGGTCAGATCAAAATCTCAAAGTGAGTATATTTGAATATACTATCGTTATTTAGGGCGGCCCGGTGTTCGAGAGGTTAGCACGTCAACCTCAAAATGCAGAGGTACCAGGTTCGATTCCAGCTGCGGCTTCCTGCGTGGAGTTTACATGTTTTCCCCGTGCCTGCCTGGGTTTTCTCCGGGTACTCCGGTTTCTTCCCACATTCCAAAAACATGCATGGCAGTCTGATTGAACACTCAAAGTTGTACCTAGGTGTGAGTGTGAGCGCAGATGGTAGATGGTTGTTGGTTGTTTGTCTCTGTGTGCCCTGCGATTGACTGGCGACCGTTTCGGGGTATCCCCCACCTACTTCCTGAAGACGGCTGGGATAGGCTCCAGCACCCGCTGCGACCCTTGTGAGGACAAAGCGGGGAAAATAGATGGATGGATCTTTTCAGAGTTAAGATGGAAAAAGTTTGGCTGAAGAAAATATCTGCTCATGATCCCAAACCCGGCGTACGAGCGTAGCTGTGACACACTTGCTCAACAAACAAGAAGTTGCAACCTTTGTGGATCGTGAGATGAATGACTGACATCAACAAAGGCAGAAGTGATCATGTCATGGCTTGGATTTGCTTGGCTTGTTCTTCTGAAGTGGGTTCATAAATCTTCTCTTGGTACTCATACACAATAGCATGAAAATTCATTGAGAATACAAAAGTTGATGAATTAAGATAAGATAAGATAAGATATCCTTTATTTGTCCCACACTGGGGAAATTTACAGCCTTCAGCAGCAAGATTGTGGGTAGAAAGAAGAGAAAAGAAAACACAGTTCAATTAAGTGCAATATAAATACAAATATGGATAAGGTCAATAAGTTCAATTAAGTGCAATATAAATACAATAGTCACAGTACTATTCACATTCACATTTGTTGTCATATCATTTAAATAATTTTATGATTTATTTATTTATTCATTTTTTATTCAGCAGCCTGACAGCAGTCGGTAGGAACGAGCGGCGGTATCTCTCCGTCTTGCAACGCGGGTGTAACAGTCTCTGACTGAAGGAGCTACCGAGTGCTGTCAGGGCGGGGTGGGGGGGGTGGGGGGGACTGTCCAACATAGCTTTTAGCTTAGCTAGCATCCTGCTGTTGCCCACCTCCTCCAGAGTGTCGACGGAGCAGCCCAGGACAGAACTAGCCTTCCTGACTAGTCGCTCCAATCTCTTCCTGTCCCGGGCCGAGATGCTGCCTGACCAGCAGACAATGCCATAATGGATGGCCGAGGCCACCATTGCTCACAGGCTTGATTCAGCTGTTAGAAGCAAATGATTGACAGTGAAATATTCGGTCAAATTGACTTTAAATCTAATCAAATAGGTAGAATTTAAATAACTGTTACAATAAGTAGCTGTCCATAACAAATGACATCATCTATATTGGGTGTCACTGAAATGTTAATCTTTCTTAATTCATTTTTGGATTCCAATTCTTTTTTTTTTTTTTTTCTTTGCGCGTCAGACTAAGACATTTTAGTCTGGTCTCAATGTTCCACTTCTATGGACTGGAGTGCAAATAACTTTTTGTTCCCTCTGGTGGGGTTTCACCTCAAAAAGAAAAAGTAAGAAGTCATTTAACCATCCCACTGAATAAACAGCTCGCTGCAGACACAAATGGCTTCTCGAAGTTGCATCAGCGCGGAATCAAAGTTGAATTTCAAGTACAATGCTCAAGAGTCAGCAGGCCATGACACTCACAGTTGTCTCCAGTGGAGTGTGATAAGACATATCCAAGGCCATTTCAAGGGCTTGTGTTTACGCGCATAGAAAGCCATGTACACAACTCACTGAACATTTGAAAGCAGCACGTCACGTCTTAAACCATACATGTGCTCATGTCTGAGAATGGATGTCTGCAATTGAACCAGAGAAAGCCCAGCATATTCTCATAAGACAAACCTCTTCAGGTCCACGTACGTGTCCTTAAATAACACGAACTGATTTTAGACAGATTTACCCTGTGGACAAAAATGCCCGGGCGGCCTGGCGGTCCAGTGGTTAGCACGTCGACCTCACAGTGCAGAGGTCGTGGGTTAGATCCCGGCTCCGGCCTCCCTGTGTAGAGTTTGCATGTTCTCCTCGGGCCTGTGTGGGTTTTCTCCGGGTACTCCGGTTTCCTCCCACATTCCAAAACACATTTATGGTCGCTTAATTGAACACTCTAAATTGTACCTAAGTGTGATTGTGAGTGTGAATGGTTGTTGGTCTATGTGCCCTGCGATTGGCTGGCAACTGATTCAGGGTGTCCCCCGCCTACTGCCTGAAGACGGCTGGGATAGGCTCCAGTACCCTTGTGAGGATAAAATGGATGCATTGATGAACAACCAATTTACAGCAGGGCACATTAAAATCATTTTAAAACATAACGGACTGATTATATAATGCCTCGGAAAAACAAAACAAAAACAAGTGACAGTATTTCCCAAAACTCTTGAGTAACTTATTTTTCAAATCAGTGATGAAAACAATGCAGAAATGTTCTCTTTTAAATGATTGAACAACCGAAGTAAACCGAAGCAGGCCATTTGATGTATGTTTGAAATGCGATGCAATGCATAAATCACTTGGACAAAGTTTCCCTTATTAGATGCTCTCACAACATGTCTGACCCATTTTGATGTATTTGCGTCTTATCAGATTAAAGAGAGCATAGTGATAGAACTGTCTGAAACCGGCATCCCATTTCTTGTTCAGTGGTCTCTGTTGTTGTTGCTGACTTCCAGAAGCTAACAAATCTACAATATCAGGGGAAAAAACCCCAAACTTTTTTTTTTCTTTTTTGTTTTGTGACAACGCCCACCCTGCCAACCAAAGACAAGATTGAATCTCAGAGTCACTCTAGTGTGGGATGGTTTATTTAAGCGCTAGGCCACTGATTCAGGCACATGTAATAGGCTGCTCATGAAGAACACATGCCAAGCTGAAGTGTACAGGTAAAAAGTGCAAAAGGTTTTACTGTTGACTTTAGCCCACACAGAATGGCTTGTTATGCAATGTTATATTTCGGCATGGTCGTCTTCTGCAGTTTTTCTACAATTATGTCAACAGATGAGGTCAACTTCCTCAACGGTAAGTACACACACTCACACGCACACACACACACACACACACACACTCACACACACACACACACACCACCCATTTCAGTATCCTTTATTCATTCGAATGAATTCGGAAATAAAAGCTATAGGGGAAATGCCGATGACTCTCAGAGACAGTAAAATATTAGCGACTGCACATTTTAGGTTGATTTCTTGTATTTATCTGTCAGCAACACCACTTTTTTGTTTTTAGGAATGGACGCAAATTGAGAAAAAGTACACACCCATGATAAATACTGCGTTTGTGACGTTAAGTAGTTCCTGGTGTAGTGGTTCTTAACCTAGGTGCGATGGAATCCAAGGGGTTCGGTGAATCAGTCTCGGGTTTGACAAAGCCTCTGTCATGGAGGTTAAGAAACACCCGACTCAACATGTCAATTAGTTATGACATGCCCGCTTGGCCATCTGGCTGGTTCATTTTGTGCACAATTAAAAAACTTATACTTTGTACTTACCGGTATAGTAATTGTGTTTACTTTTTTCTGTTTTTAAGAAATGCATTTTTTAATGTTTTGAATTTGTAAAATTTTTCACAAATGAAGGGTTCGGTGAATGTGCATATGAACTGGTTGGGTTCAGTACCTTCAACAAGGTTAAGAACCCCTTGTCCTGGAGGCTTTGCTTTGTAACAATATTTTTTGAGGGGTTGGCGGGGGGGGGGGTGCAGACACATTTGAATTAAACGATGTTTTACACCTCCTGACAGACACCTTCTCATTGAATGCTTTTTGCTTCCATTTTCTCTTTTGCTGTATGATGAACCCGATACGAGTAATTGCCATCACCAAATTAATAATGAGAAGTATATATTTAGTTGGTTTGTTAGATAAATTCTACTTTACATTTTATCGGTCAGATGCTGTTCTCTTATGTTTATAAATTGAGCTGAATCAGCTTTCGCTGTGCAAAGATTTTCGCTGACAGAGACTATGCACTCGTTCAAATCAAATCATGTGTTGTTATCTACCTTACAGCTACATCCATTCAAAAATTGATTATGTCATCATATGAAGAAAGTCGTCAAATGCTTGATGAAAAATCCTTTCAAACCATACAAAGGTAACAACAAGCAAAGTGAATCCTATCGTCTGTCACCGTTTCGGTGGAAAAATGCCTGCCCAAAAGGAGCCACATTCTGTAGAACTTTGGTTTTCTTTTCATTTGTGTGCATAGACGAAGTTCACGCGTGTCCTCCGTGCATGGCTTTTCATTTCGTCGACAAACTGAGACAGAGACCCTTGAGATAGGACATGCTGCTGAGGTTTTCCAATTAACTCTGCAAGGCCTTCAAAAAAAACTGAAGCAGCGGTACAAAAGGGATATCACAGCAACAGGTAAGATCATATTTTAATTGTAAAAAAAAAAAAAAACACGTGAGGCAAGACGATTAATCTTTTAACTTCCTCTCAGTCAAGCGTTATTTTTCTTTCCGATGCGCTGATGAAATGCTCTTTTTTTTCAAAGATTTGCTTTCATGGGAGCACGTGGAGCTGATCGCAGAGCTGTCAGGATGTCCACCTCCAGGGCATCCGGCTACTTCCCAGTGTAGTTACCTCAGCAAGTATCGTTCCATAAACGGCATGTGCAACAACAGGTACTGTCGTTAAGTGACGTCAATGCGTTGATGCACACAAATCTTCATCCAACCATCCATTTTCTGATCCGCTTATCCTCACAAGCATGCGGGGCATTCTGGAGCCTATCCCAGCTGTCTTCAGGCAGTAGGCGGGAGACACCCTGAACTGGTTGCCAGCCAATCGCAGGTCACACATAGACAAACAACCATCGGCTCTCACATTCACACCTCTGGAAAATTTTGTGTTCCATTAAACTGCAATGCATGTTTTTGGAATGTGGGAGGAAACCAGAGTACCCGGAGAAAACCCACGCAGGTACAAGGAGAACATGCAAACTCCACACAGGAAGGGTGGAGCCAGAATTGAACCCTGCACCCCTGCACTGTGAGGCTGACGCAAATGAGTCGACTACCAGACCGCGCACACAAATCTCAAAAAGTGGAAAAAAAAACAACTACATTGAGGGTCCATCTAAAATGTGGTGGGCTATATGCCACCAAATACAATATGGATCCACAAGTTGAACAATGTGCTCACTCTGTGCGGGCAATGCAACAGTAAGCCAAAACAAGTCTGATTGCATCATATATGTAAAATAACATCTTGATTGTTTGTCATTGCTTGTGTATTCTTATGACACGTGACCTTAAGTGCCAACTCCACCAATGCCTTATGTGCGCTGTTCTTTGTTCACCATTTTACATTAAAGGACTACAAGGCACACATGGCATTCAAATAAGGGAGTAACAAAAGGAGGCAGTTGCATCACTGGCCCCTCTCAAACAACCAGGCTCAGTAAGCATTTATTTCGATCCACTTGTTGAGTCTGGTCCTTCTTCGTGACATAAAATGTCGCCAAAAGGTGAACAGAAAGCCAACCACACCCAGAGTTAATCTTTGGTGTAACCAAACTTTTGTGTGATTTTTCACTGTGTCAAATGATGCCATCCATGATGGTGGTGTCGGACTAAATTGAGAGGCATTTCAATTCAGCGGCATTTAACTATTGAGGTTTCAATGTTGTTCATCAAATGTCAGTCTTCATGTTTGTTTTTTTTTTGCCAGGAACAATCATCTCTGGGGAGCAGCCAACATCCCTTTAAAAAGGTGGCTTCCACCTCAATATGAAGATGGAGTACGACAACCCAAAGGTTGGAACGCAGGAAGGCTCTATAATGGATTTGAACTTCCCAAGGTAATCCGCAAATACTTTATATATACATATATAGAGAGAGAGATATAGAGATATATAGATATATATACCGTATATATAGATATAGATATATAGATAGATAGATATATCTATATCTATCTATCTATCTATCTATCTATCTATCTATCTATCTATCTATCTATCTATATATACAGTGAAACTCCTCTAGAACGAAACCTGCATGGGCGAAAATACCCCCTTATGTGAAAAAAATCTTCATGCATTAACACAATTCCCATTCTCCTGCCCCCCATACGACGAAAAACCCCCTGTTGCGTTATACGAAATCATTTTGTCTGCTCCAGCCTCGCGAAGACATTCACTACAACGAAGTCTTATCCAACAGCGACCTCTACTGCTTCGTTCGAAAAAAGGCAACAGCAACCACCACACTGGTTTACATAGTGAACGATGTTTATTTCGGTCACAGCTGCGAGTTTCCTGGGCTCAACATACTCATAGCTGCTCTGCTATTGGCTTACCGAGCATCATCCTGGCCTCCGATTGGCCAAGAGGCCACATAGACCTCACTGTCTATGTGTGTAGATACTGAAGCTAGATCCGTAGCATCCGATTAGCTGCTCAGAGTAAATTGCTTATGGCTCGACGGACATTTACTTTACTTTTTATCATGCTAAAAACACCCACGGGACGCTTTGTAGTCCTCGATGGCCATAGTTAGCTCTCGAAGGCTAAAAACCTTACGCTAACTGG